CTCATTGTTTTTTAAGACTGAACAATATTCCATTGTGTGTATGTGTGTGTGTGTTTGTGTGTGTGTACTTGAGCTGCTTCCATAATTTAGCTCTTATAAATAATGCTTTTATAAAGGTTGGAGTGTATGTATCTTTGAATTAGTGTTCTTTTATTCTTTGGGTAAATACCTAGTAGTGTGATTGCTGGACCATAGGGTAGTTCTATTTTTATAATTTTAATATTAATTTACTTTTAGGGATACCTGGCTGGTTCATTCGATTAAGTGTCCCACTCTTGATTTCGGCTCAGGTCATGACCTCAGCCAGGGTGGTGGGACTGAGCTCCAAGCATCCAGCTCTGTGCTGAGTATGGAGCCTGCTTAGGATTCTCCCTCTCCCTCTTTGTCCCTCACCCCTCCCTCCCTCTCTCTCTCAAATAAAACAATACACAAAATATAATTTACTGTTAAAATTAGGTAATATATATTCACAAGTGTGAAGGTCAAAAGGACTTTCATGACAGATAAGAAAACAATCCATAGATCTAGGTTTTCTTTTTCTTCAATTGAATTTTATGTTAACACTTTTCCCTAAAATAGTGACACCTACCTTAAAAATATTTCAAAGATTTTGGTGCCAATGTTTTCCATATTCCACACTAGTTTTCTGTGGCTTTCTGTGGCTTTATGACAAATTGCAAAATTGACATATTGTGGGGTGCCTGGATGGCTCAGTCGGTTGGAAGTCCGACTTTGGTTCAGGTCATGATCTCATCATAGCTCATGGGTTCGAACTTCACGTTGGGCTCTGTCCTGACAACTCAGAGCCTGGAGCCTGCTTTGGATTCTGTGTCTCCCTCTGTCTTTGCTCCTCCCCAGCTCACACACACACACACACACACACACACACACACACGCACACTCTCTCTCTCTCTCTCTCTCTCAAAAATAAATAAACATTAAAAAAAATTTTAATTGACATATTGTGTAAATTGAGGAAAAAGAAGGTGGGGGGAGACTAACAAAAATTCATCATACACCATGGAATAATTGTTTTTCTGTGTTCTCACATAATCATCATAACACATAGCTATTTTTCACATCTTTGAGAAAACAAAGGCTCAGAGAGTTAAAAGAATTTGTCAAAGTGGGAAACAGTTACCTTGCGGTAAAGTTGAATGTTCCAGCTAAGGGCTGTGTATTTCAAAGCCCAAGCACTACCGCCCAATTTCTCCCAGGGTAGGTTTTTGTTTTTGTTTTGTTTTTTTAAATAAATGCAGTGCTTCTGGCAAGACCATAGGGCAGGGGGAAACATGTTCTCTCACTTTTCTCAAAACGGTGTGTCTGCATCTTCAGTGTGGAAATGCCAGTGAGTAAAACCTTCCAGACTACCTGCCGTGCACATAAAACTTCTGTAGGGGAGTGTATAACCTGCAAACATGCCCACAGGATCCACAGGCGGCTCTCCTGCCTGCAGGAGACATTGGTGAATAATAGAGATACACCCAGAGGTTTATGTACATGCGCATTCATCGTGGTGTCGTTTATAATAGCTACCAGTGGAGAACAATCCAAATGTCCCAGTGGGGGAATGATTAAATAAATTAGGGACATTCATATAATGAAATCTTACTGCCATTAAAAATCATAGTTTCCAAGACAATTGCATTTAATGCATGATCCTTTATTATTCCTGGATACTGGAAGACAGCTATAACGAACACTATGAGGCTAATTAGGAAACTTTTAATATGGACTACTTACCAAATAATATCGTTTATTAAATGTTTATATGATAGATGTAATTTAACAAAATATGCTAATTCTTAGAAAATACATGCTTATATATTTAGGGATGAAAAAGTCTTATTCTTAAGAAATATAAGAAAGAAGCTCACAATAGAATATTAAGATAATTAATTTTCATGTTGCTTAAAATATATATGCATAGAAAAAAAACAAAGACTAGAAAGACACACACCATAATATAAGCATTGGTAATCTCTGTATAGTGAGATCCTATGCAATTTTTAAAATTTTAGCCTTTGTACATTTTATCATTCTGCAGTTTTCCTACCGGGGCCTACTATCATTCTGTTCCCACACCTTTAAGGTATATGCACAGGGAGAAATTCAAGAGTAGAGAAAGGTTGATTGGGCACATCGCTGACTTAAGTCAGTAAGAGGGCCTAGTAAAGCAATCCAAAGTAAAATAAGGTGCCCAAGTAGGTACTGGGAGCATAATAGGTCAAAGTTACATTGTTGGGGGGAGGGGTAATTAGGGCAGGAGGGTATATAAAGACCTCATCTGAAGAGCTAAAGGAGTTTTACTGGTAAATTAGATCTCAGGGCAAAAGATGTATAATATTTTATTTTTAAGGTACTCTAGGACAAGTCAAGACAATTTTTTAAAAATGAATAAATCAAATCGCAACCTTGAATGGAAGGTCACTCTTGATGTCCTCTGCCCTCACAACTCGACATACCCCTTCTCCTCTAGCTCATGTCTAGAGAGGGAAATGGCCATGTTTCCGGATTCCATTTTGGCAATGTGCACAAGAGGCTACTTGTGACTTGCTAACCCCCTGGGGAAATCTTCCACTCAAGAAGGGTAGAAGAAAGAGATCTGGGAAGGAGAGAAGGAGTCAATAGAAGAGACAACAGGGTAGCTTGAATATCGGTCCCATGTGGGACACCATTCACATTTAAGAAAATGTCTGACAGATGTTCAAAGGCTGAGGCACAGAAGAGACCAGACCCTGGTCTCATACAAGGGGATGAGTTTGTGCACCTCTCAATTGCTCATTCTGCCCACTCTCCCTCCCAATCCCATCACCACATCTGTTTGGTGTGGAGTTTATATCCAGAAGCCTTGGGTGAAAATGCTTTTGCAACTTTTTCATGGTTGTTTATGCAAAGTCAGCAGAGTAAGAATAGTATAGATTCAATCTTCCCCACACAGGCGATCAGTGGCAGGCCCAGGGCAGACAATGATCCACATGGGATGACTTTGCCAGAGGAGAAAAAGTAGGCTGTTTTCCTTGATAATACCAGCCCCTTTGGGACAAAGGGAAAGAAAAGGAGCTATTACCTTACACCACAATTTAATGTAATGCGTACTAAGTTAAAATATACGACCTTTATATTCATTTATAAAAAATCAATGTGGGGTTTTTTTTTTGTAATTGAGAAAGCTGTAGACCAAATATATTTGGTGTTTGCTATTCATAATTTGTTCCTTAGCTTTTTGAGGTGATAAATCAAGAAATAAAATTTAATAAAATAAAAAATGGGGAACAGAACAAATTGTTCAAAGAGAGTGTGATTGGTTCTCCATCACTAGAGTTCTTGGACTCTAAGTGTATGTGGTGTCAGGGTGAAAATGCAAAGAGCGAACACAGAGAACAGAAGAGGGCACGATTCGGGACCCAAAGTCTAGTTCAGATCTGCTCCGATGCCTGTGAGGGCACAAGATAAAAATGCATAGGTTTGAAAGAGAAGGCAGGTCTAGATGAGTGAGAAAGGTGGATACCAACCTTACAGTAAACCCAGTTACCTATCCTCTCTCCCTACTTAGCTCCCTCCCTCTGGTTGTCTATGCTAATTAACAGATTCAATTATCAATTTTTCGCCCAACTGAGTCTCTAATTTAAAGACAAAAATCTGTGTTAAACATGTTCCTTAATAATCATGCAGTTGTGTAAGGGTTAAATCCTATCAGTTTTCTTGTCTGCGATTGAAAACATGGGCAGTGACTTCTGTGAGTGGGAAGAGGCAGGAAGGGGTACCCTCTGTGATTGGTGCCATTCTGCAATGCAAGCAAGGAAGGATTCAAACAAACAAAAAACCTGCAGGGACAGAGCAGGGACAAAAAACCTGCAGGGACAAAGAATGGGCAGCCAAGAGAAGGTCGGTTCACAGAACTTTCTCCCAAATCCTCACGTGTTGGGATGGAATAAGTAAACTTGATTTCACCTTCCAGTGATTAAAGCCTTTTGCTTATAGCAAGTAGCAAAAACACATAAAATAACCTTATAAAAAATTCAGTAAAGTCATTTGGCACCTATAGCATTGATACATTTATTGAATAGAGACTTTGTTCTGTGATCTTTAAACATATTCACAGAAGGTTCCAGCCTCTTGTGGTTGTGGTAAACATGAAGGATAATGATGATATTGACACCTAAATTTGCAGTATTCTGAACATATAAGCCTTCCCGAGTACAGATACTCCAGGCCCCATGGAATGGAAAGAAAAGCAACTTTTCAGTGGAGGCTGAGTCATGAGTCCCTCTCACCAACCCTGGAAAGGAGAACCCATGCACTTGCTCCCACCCAGAGGAGTCAGTCTTGTCCCAGCATGCAGAGCTCTGCACATAGAACAAAGACATTCAAACAGCAGAGTTATTAGGGTGCCTGGGTGGCTCAGTGAGTTAAGTGTCCAACTTTGGCTCAGGTCATGATCTCACTGTCTATGAGTTCGAGCCCCCCACCAGTCTCTGTGCTGACAGCTCAGAGCCTGGAGCCTGCTTCCAATTCTGTGTCTCCCTCTCTCTCGGCCTCTCCCCCACTCATGCTCTGTCTTTTGCTCTTTCTCTCTCTCTCTCTCTCTCAAAAATAAACATTAAAAATATTAAAAAATATAAAAAATAGAGTTCTTTAGAGTCAAATAAATAAATACACTCAAAAACATGACATACATTTATAAAACTGGCCTATGACAATGGGATCAGGGATAATAGGGGCTAATTCTTTCTCTACATTTTCAGTGACCAGCATGTATGCGGGACAATCTAGATAATGAATTTGGTCAAAGACAGGATTTGATCAGCCTTCTATGGTGTTGAAAGTTGATTGTCCAACTTGGTCGTTGATTGTGGCTCAAGTTAACAGAAAGCCTTTTCAGGGGCTTTCCTTTAAGATCACCCAATATTGATAGTGTCAATGCATAAATCATCTTAATTAATAATCATCTGTTGGTCTTAGACCTCATCCTTGGTGAAGGCTCGGGGGCATGTCCCTCAGACATAACTGTTCAGTGAGCAGATGGTAAGAGGGCCCGTGTTCGTCCCTTCATTTGGGAGGCAAGGGGAGAAGATCGGCCTGAGAGCCTCTTGGAAAGAGGCTGGAGGGAAGCTGTAGATGAGGGACTCATCTGTCACGTTGTAGAACGCTATGTGTCCAGACTCGTAGTCTAAGAAAACGCCAACCTTATGCACAGGCTCTCGGACGTGTTGACCTTTTAAAGGTGATGAGACCCAAAGACTATAATCTTCTCCAATTTTTAAGCCTATAAGTGAGAAGAGGTCCCCAGGTGGCTTCGGGAGATTGCCCTTTCGGCTCACGGAGTCCTTGCAAATGCCCACTTCCCACTCGGTCTTGTTGCCCACCTCCACCTCCCAGTAGTGTCTCCCACAGGTGAATATCTGAGTGCCCAGCACAGTTGCAGACTGGTCAAATCGTTCTGGGTTGTCGGGTAAGTGCTGTCGGATTCCTCCATGTCTCACGCTTTTCAGATCCTCAGACAAGACAAGATAGGCATTGGCTGTAGCTGGATCCAGAGTTATGTCCGCTGCAAGAGGAGAAAAGAATGAACCCCTTGCATTCTTGAAAACCCTTTTACATATGTGGAATTTTAATTAAATTCTTAGTTTCCAGTCCTATTTTTAAAAATATGATCTAGGTGAGTGTGGTGAGGAGTTTTGTTTCACTGAGAACAGAATCTCTGAGCCCTTCTCTCACTGTTTCACAAACACTGAGAGCAAATCTCTGAAAAGAAACAGAAGAGAGTCATGTGGACAGTGATATTTATCCTGCCTGAGAGGAGAGAGAGAGAGGAATCGCTGATATAATGGAATGGAATAGAATAGCAGGTTTCTGTTTACAGCATAGCTTTAAAACTCAGAGCTATTTATCCACACGGGGCATACTCTGTCATTTGTATTCAGTTGAGCCAAGGCTCCTTCTGATTCTTCAGTTTGGGTGGGAGAGAAATAGAGGCAGCTATCCTTTCTGGACTTCTCCTTAGGTGCCAACCATTTTCTGTACAATATCTCATTTAATCATGGCATTTTTCCCCCCATTGTATTTATTTATTTATTTAATGTTTATTTTTGAGAAAGAGAGACAGAGTATGAGCGGAGGAGGAGCAGAGAGAGAGGGAGACACAGAATCCGAAGCAGGTTCCAGGCTCTGAGCTGTCAGCACAGAGCCCGACGCGGGCCTTGACCCAGGGCTCGAACTCACAAACTGCAAGATCATGAACTGAGCCAAAGTCAGTCACTTGACCAACTGAGCTACCCACGTGTCCCTTCCCAGTTTTACAAAAGTGGAAACTGAGGTTCACAGAGGTTTGGAAACTTGTCCAAAATTACAAAGTTACTGAGTGTTGGAATAGCAATTCCAAGTCAGCATTTTTCATTATGTCATGCTGAAATGCAGCCTCCTGTGAGATTAGTGAAACCACCTGTGACCAGTTGATAAGTACACTGTGAACCAGTGAGAGACCCCTCCTTCCCATCTTCTGAGAGGAGGTCACAGAAGAGGCTTCCAACTTTCAATGGCCTCTCAGACAAAATTAAGTGCCCCTACCATGTAATTTCATACTTTTATTTATAGATCAAATTCTAATCATCACTAATTATTTGAGATTAATGTCTGTCTCCTCAGTTCCACTGAAAGTTCTGTAAAAGCAAAGGCAGGCCTGTCTTATTTATCACTATAAGAAAGCTGAGAGTTTAATAGCATAGTACCAGGTACATAGTTGGCACTTATCAAGTATCTACTGAATCCAAAGCCCGTTAGACTTTCCTCTGAAGGTCAGATTGTCAACAAGATAAAAGTTAAAAATGAAGGCTGAATTCTCTTCACGATAGCTAGCCTAAATATCTAGAGCATTCTAAAAGGATAGCTTGAATGTTGCCTCATTGAGATTAAGAATTTAAGTAGTTTTTACCCTCACAAGAACAGAGGTAGAAATGCAGAAACCCCTGAGGAGGGGTGTGTGTGTGTGTGTGTGTGTGTGTGTGTGTGCGCGCGCGCGCGAGTGTGCGTGTGCGCACTCAAGGGGATGAAATAGACAAAATGGGACAGTAAAAACAAACAAAGGAAGTGCCAGGAATCCTTAGAAAACACAGGTAAGCGAACCCTCAATCAAGTGTGCTTCTGTCGGCTCCAGAACCCAGACGGTCTGTGGCCTCAGCCCACCCTGAGGGTTCGCACAGACTCACGGCGCCTGGCACCCAGATGGTGAGTATTTTGTCAGAGGAAGCTGCCGAAAAGCTCAATCTTGCATACCCTCGTACACACTGAAGTTCAGTCTGCAAATCCCTGGAGGTTTGACAAACGAGGCTGACTTACTGCTGAATTTTTTTAGCATCTCCCTCATTCCAGTGATGCGGCACAGACTCAGTTCCGTGGCGGTCGCCTCTGGACACTGGAGCAAGAGTGGCTCACTCCTGCAAGAGGGCAGAGACAGTCACTCTGTCTGCCCTGCGCAGCCCGCAGGACCTGTTGCAAGCTGAGGGTCCAGCTTGATGTTCCCCAACAGCATGGACACTCTCCTCCCCACCCTGACAAATGTAGCAGCAGCACACCCCTGTGTCTCACATAACTGAACACAGACTGGAAACCCACCTTTCCAGTGTTCCTTTCACATCCTAAGGGGAGAAAAGAAAGAGGGTTAGTATCTGTGCCCTTTGATCTCTAACAAAGACAGAATCCATTTGGGATCTAGTCCTTTCTGACTTCACAGAATCCACTTTCCATGGCTGTAGGACACCTTGCGTGGGAGAGCACGGGGTAGGGAGAAAAAATCCCCAACTTCCTCCAAGGGTGGGTTCCTGTGCACAGGAGAGGGTTCCCCTAATGGCTGGACTCTCTTGTCCGTTCCTCATATCAACACTTGGTCAAGAGAACCTGATGCTGACAAAAGAGCCAAACCATCGATCTTGTTATCCGATGCCTCAGGGAGTCAAAGATCAGCAAAAGGGAAGTGGGAGAGCTGGAGTAAGCCTGTGCGCAGTTGGAGTGCGTGCTTTGCTGGAAAATCACTAAGTTAAATAGCATTCTGTGGGGGCATCCGGGAGGCAGAGGTGAAGCAGCATCTGGCTTACACAGACCAGCCCGCGTTTACAAAGGCCCCAGAGAATGCAGTAGTAGCCCCGAGAGGCAACAGAGCAAAGGCAGTGAACAATATGGGCTCGGTACAGAATACCGCGTTTCGACTACATATTAGCTGTTTGATAGGCAAATTACCTAACTGCCAGAGGTCTGAATTATTAAGTAAGAGCTACTGTAAACCCACAGGGTAGATTACAATCACCGAGAGTACATAAAACAGTATTTAACTTCATCAGGTCTCTGTGAAGATGAAATGTAGTGTGCCAGCAGCACATAGTAAATGCTCATTAAACAAAATAACTAACGAAGCTGAAGTTGCAGACAGGCAGGCACAGCAGAAAATGGAGTCATCCTCAGGCTTGGTTTGGATAGCTGTTCTACTGGGTTTTGTTTTTCTCTGCCTCTTCAGGACTGTCTTTATACTATGGAACATTAATTCTTTTTTTTTTAAATGTTTATTTGTTTTTGAGAGACAAAGAGAGAGCACAAGCAGGGGAGGGGCAGAGAGAGAGGGAGAGACAGAATCAGAAGCAGTCTCCAGGCTCCAAGCTGTCAACGCAGAGCCCAACGTGGGGCCCCAACCCATGAACCATGAGATCATGACTTGAGCCAAAGTCAGATACTCAATGGACTAAGCCACCCAGGCACCCCTCGAACATTAATTCTTTAGGAAAACTATGTTGGGGCTGGAACTTAGTTTTTTGGGTAAATAAACACTTAATTTTGCATGGCTTGAAATATTATGAGCTACGACATGTTGTTGTTGTTGTTGTTGTTGTTATTGTGGCATTGATTTTCCCAGTATTCTTACCTCAAAAGATTCTAAAGTGGAGCGCTGACAGGTGGACTCTATCTGCTCAATCATCTTGCTTAGGCTTCTTATTTGCTGGGTCAGCTTGATCTCATTGTCCCTCAACTTCTTCATGTTCTCCCTTTCCTCCTTTTCCAGTAACTGGAGCTGTAGTTGTTCCTCCTCCTTCAAAAACTGGTGCATTTTTACATATTCTGACACAACAACCTGCTTACAGGCCTTTGTCTCTTCCTGCCATCCACACACATGCATGTGTGCACACACACACGGGAGCAATATAATAAAGTTAGTGACAGAAATGCCTGTGTAGACTTTTAGTCCTAGCAAAGTCCTAGAGTTCCACTGTGACACATAATCCATATTCTATTAAGTAGTTGGGGGCTAGTGTGATATTTAGGGGGTACATGTGCTATAGATACAGTAGCAAACAAAACCAAAATGTCTATTCCCAGGAGACTGTCATTCTACTGGGGAAAAAAATATAAACAACAATTATGATAGGTGGTGATCCATACCACAATTTAAAAAAAAAAAAAAAAAAGCAAAATTGGGACACCCGGGTGGCTCAGTCAGTTAAGCATCTGACTTCACATGATCTCGCCGTCTGTGAGTTCGAGCCCCATGTTGCGCTCTGTGCTGTGGTTCAGAGCCTGGAGCTTGCTTTGGATTCTGTGTCTCCCTCTGCCTCTGCCCCTCCGCCCTCACACTCTGTCTCTCAAAAAATGAAAAATGTTAAAAAAATTTTTTTTTTAAAGCAAAATAAAGCAAGGGCAAAAATATGAAAAAAAGTGTATATTCATTTATTTAATAAATATCCAATGAAAGCAGACATAGGATCACATCCTAGAGATAGAGATACACATCACAAATACTCGGCTTTGAGAACTCCGTTTATTGGGAGAATCAGATACATTTTTAAACATGTGACTCAACATTTAGGTCTTTGCAAGACAGCTCACGTTCAAATCTGTGACTAACTCAAGCTTTTGTTTAGACGTACTAAACCAAACAATTATTTGGCCTTTATTTTATCTTTTTTTTTTCACTTTCTTTTTACCCCAAAGCATTTGAGCTATTCCTTTTTATTGATTTTTGATCCTCTATTGTCTGTAACTTGTAATTTTAAATAATTATCATCAGAGCCATAATAGAGGTAGCCACCAAGTTGTATAGGTGTATCCAGAAGAAAAGAAAATAAGCAGGCCTGGGGATGGGGAAATTGTTTGAAGTGAGTCTTGGGATTTCCAGGTGGACAAGCAGAGGTACACAGCCCAAAGTAAAGGCACTGCATATTGTAGGACAGGGATTGGAAAATTTGGTCTTTTTTGCCTGGTCTTTCACTAGGTATCCCTTTAGTCTCCCTCATAGAACATATACGAGATCCAAAAGTAAGACAGATACTGACCTTGCACAGTGTTACTCTCTCCTTCTCATGGGATAATACAACCTGAGTTTCCTTTTTCTTTTTACGCAAAAGATTTAAGACTTCCTGGAGTTTCTCCTGCAATAGAAACAAATTCTCTGTGGCAAATGAGCAGAGCACCGGGTTGTGAAGAAGACTTGAGGACCAATAAAAATATGATGAGCGGGACCTAACACAAGGAGTGAAGCAGGATCCACACCAAGTTTGGGGTCTGGTGCCTGGAGACCAGGACCCGTGATTGTCACCAATAGAGAATATTATGGGCATAAGTGATGGAACGTGGTTTGTGTTCTGAGATTTATATTGAGCAGCCAATCTTACTTTGTGACGCTCCTCAGCCTCACTGGAGGGATACAATCTGTTTATTCCGTGACACTGGGTTAAGAAAGCGTTTACACCCTGCTGCTCATCAGAAAAAGCCTTAGCGACTGCCAGCATTCTCCCAGAGCCGCCTTGTCCGCCCTCGCTCTGCAGCACCTGGGATCGGAGCTGTTTGCCGATGCCAGCCAGCCTCCCCAGACGCTCATTGGGCTGGAAGTGTGGACTCTCCAAGGCCCTCCAGCACTCAGGACAAGATAAAGGAGTACTGTGTTCCTCCCAGCTCCTCAGGAGACACACCAGACAAAAGCTGTGCCCACACTCAGTGGTCACCGGGCTGGTGAAATAGTCCAAGCAGATGAAACAGGTCAGTTCTTCCCTGAGATTCTCCATCAAATCTGCTGTAGACATTTTTACAAAGAAAGACATCAAGGCAAGGTGCTGCCTCTATTCTGGGATTAGAAAAGTCCTCCCTGAGGTTCTATTGTTTTGAGTAACAGGTGGGTGGTCAGTTTCTGTGTTGTTAATACGAAAAACTCTTACTCTCCTCTGTGCCTGATTTCACCAGTTGACACATACTCTCCCAACAAAAGGCCAATTATGACTTAACGTGGAACCCTTGTACACTGGGTTCATCATCAACCCCAGACTTTTAAGGAATGTCTCACTGTGCAAGCAACATACTGGATACGGAGGGTACTTGTTTCTAACAGACTTTCTTCAAGAGTAGGCTATTATATGTAAATAGCACCAGAAAAACAATCAAGTACCTTGATCTTAAGCTGAAAGGTTAGGTAATTTGGTGTGAGCCATTACAGAGATTTAAGTTATAATGATCTCTAATAATATCCGAATTGGAAATATGGCCCATTTAGGAAGACTCCACTAATGGAATCTAGTTAAGAAACCGAAGGCAGAAAATCGTAATACCGATCCCTTCTCTTGATAGGCCCTTTTATGTGCTTGACCAAAGCTTAAAATATTTTTCTCCTTAATCAGGTACTGTGTACTTTTATTTAATCTTATTCGTCCCAACAAAATGAGAGCAAGTCCATTGAAATATTCCCTGACTTTAAACGTATAATGGATTATCAGAGTTATATTTAGTGCTCTGCCCTGCAGACCATGATACCTCTCCACCACCATTGAAGGCATGCAAAACCTCATTATTGTTGGAAGTTGCCTCAAGAGGCCATAACGCTATGGACTGAATGGGGGCAAAAAAAGTGTACTTCAGAATAAATATAATTTTATTCACTTATTTTCACTAGGTCTTCTTCAACCCCGTATCAGTTCTTACTGAACAGGTATCCAATGTGCAAATAGTTTCAGACCTATGTGAAACTAAATGTCTAGTATGGAAATGGTGTCCAGTGACCATTGAGATTATTAGTGCCTTACTCTATAAATCTGTATTGCCATATGCTCATGAGGCAGCACTTGTCATGGCCCACGACCCGCTCACTGACTGCCAAAAAGTGCAAACTTAGAAGCTTTTCCTTAGAATCTAACCAGTTTCTCCCTCCCGTTGAGTTCATCATACCTTATTTTTGTTCTTATCCTGTCTTGTGCCAGCGTTGGCAACTATCCATGTGTCTCTATTACCTATGCTATTTCATTAATTGCTTTCTGATTTTTGCGGTTGCCACTGATTCTTCTTCCCCACTTACCTCCAACAGATGCTGGGTGTTTTCCTATCTTGAACTTTTGTAAAAAGAAGTTTTCTGGAAGTTTCCTCCATTTTTCTTCCTCCTAGTCAACACTCATCCTTTTGAAGTTATTAATCCAAATGTTTTCATTGTATGTCCTTTGTGTAACATGTGTGAATTACTGAAATGAGAATTTACAAAAACATACAACAACAACAGCAAGTAACACAGCAAGTTATAATAATTTAAATAGAAAGAGAGGAAGCATCAATTTGGGGTCACGAAACTTCTATCTACTACTTAAGATTACTTCTAGCCTAGTAACTGAGGTACAGCTTCACAGTATTTTTTAGGAGTTAGTCTTAAGTAAGGGTCTTGCAAAAAATAAAATCTATAATAACATTAACTGCCTTTACTGGAAAAAGGATTTATGAACTACCACCTACATGCAGTGTGTTATTCCCACACAAACCCAGAAGGAGCCTTTAACATTGACCAGGACCATTAGAATAAGCCTTTCAGTAGATATATGGTACATCACAGATACTGTATTCCAATTTGGAATGGGGAAACTGATATGTTCTAAGTTAAAGTCACACTGATCTGTTCCATCCCACGTCCCTCTTCTAAGCAAACTCCTTTAATAAACTCCTTAATACAATAACCATATCTTATTCATCAGTGACTAGAAGAATTATTTGCATATAGCAAGGGCTCAACTTATTCGTAAGTTGTAAATGAAAAAACAGAGGAACTGTATTGTTATACAACCACAGTCTTTTATCTCGCTGGAAACCAAGTAATTATGTAGTCCAACTACCATGTATAGATGGTGAAGAAAATTGAGACAAATAAATTAAGTTGATCCCCTGACTACTTGCTTACTACATGAGTCAGGTTGGGACTGGGAAACCGGGCCTCTGTTGTTCATACACTACACTGCATCTCACTTGTTGACTTGTGAGTGGATGAAATTTTCCAGTTATCTCAATACAGTGAGTATTGCTAGAATATTTCAGAAGGAAATGGGACAGCTGTTATTATGGTGTGATGTTGTGACAGGTATCTGAAATCACTGGCCACACTCATTATTGGGGATGCAGACTTCTTTACCATCGCTCACAACACATTTGACTGAGCTTAGTTCATAGATGAAGAAATTCAGAGATAACTCGTAGACAAAGAGTGAGCCAGCCACCCCAAAATACATTACACCTACCCTTGGGGCACTGCACTGTCAGACATGATTTCTGAGATCAACAGCTCAAATAGCTTCTTCTCTGACCTGTCTCCTGCTGTGGAGGTGACAGTAGGGATACACCCTAAGGTCTCCACAGTCACAACTGTCATCCACATGCTATTAGGGTTGGAGCACACAGAAAAAGAGAAAGTTTAAAGATGTGGTTAGAGCTTACTTATTGATGAAGGCAGTGGACTAGATGGGGACTTATTGGAAAAACATACTGCTTGAAAGCCTGATTTTAGAAATATGTCTGTCATTTCATATCAGTGTGGAAAAGATAGATTACTCAACAACTGGTTTGGGACAAGTGAGGGTAGCCATCTGGGAAAAAAAGAAGAAAAAGACAAAGTTGGATCTCTACCTAGTAAGTTATACCAATGTGTGTTCCAGATGTATGTATGTGTGTGTGTGTGTGTGTGTGTGTGTGTGTGTGTATTTTTCCCACTCTAGTCGTGAATTTATACTCCTATTATTTCCCTTTGTATTGCTTTTTTTACTTCATTTATTTATATTATTTTTATTTTTGAATGTGTTTGTGTTCTAGATCACCCCACATCTATTTAGCAAGTAAGGAGCATATTTGTTAAATATGTGGTCAATTATTGTGTCCAAAAAAATGAAGCACATCATAAAAGGAAATAATTGGTAACATAGAAATTTAAAATAGACTACTTAGAAAAGGCTTTTTAAAGCATGCTTCAGAGCTTAGACACCCCTAAAAGAAAAGATTAATAAATTTAAATAAAAAGTAAATACTTTTATACAGCAAAGTAAATAAAATAACTTTTATTTCAAGTTTTTATTTAAATTCTAGTTTATTAATATATATGGTAAAATTGGTTTCAGGTTAAAATAATTTTTTTAATGACAATCTGGGAAAGAGAATTTGGAACACATGCATCAAATACCTAATCATAAATTACAAAGAGGACTTACATAAATATATACTTAAAAATAATAGCTCTTCAGGGTGCCAGGGTGGCTTAGCCGGTTAAATATCTGATTTTGGCTCAGGGCATAATCTCAAGGTTCATGGGTTCAAGCCCCATGTCAGGCTCTGTGCTGACAGTTCAGAGCCTGGAGCCTGTTTAGGATTCTATGTCTCCCTCTCTCTCTGCCCCTCACCAGCCCATGCTCTGTCTCTCTTAAAAATAAACATTAAAATAGGGGGCGCCTGGGTGGCTCAGTCAGTTAAGCATCCAACTCTTGGTTTTGGCTTAGGTCAATCTCACAGTTCCTGGGATCTAGCCTCACATTGGGCTCTGCACTGACAGTGCAGAGCCTGCTTGGAATTCTCTCTCTCTCTCTCTCTCTCTCTCTCTCTCTCTCTCTCTGCCCCTCCCCTGCTGACCCTGTCTGTGTCTCTCTCAAAATAAATAAAAGAGCTTAAAAATTTTTTTTGAATAATAGCTCTTCCAAAAAAATAATCACTCTTCTTAATACTATATAACCATTTTAAAAATAACAGATCAATATATACACACTGACATGATATGATATCCATTATACGATATTAAGGGAAAATACATTTCTGCTCCCACAAATAATTTAAGTATAATAATAAAAATTAGGTTCTAAGTGTATTTTTTTCCTATAAAAATAAGGTCATGCTGTAAGATGTTGGTAATGTATGTGTGTACATGAAGGCATAGAGAGAGTATGGAATTTCATGGATATGACACCAAAAGTATGGGCCACAAGAGCAACAGTAGATAAATGGGACTACATCAAACTAAAAAGCTTCCACACTACATAGGAAACAACAGAGTGAAAAGGCAACCATTGGAATAGGAGAAAATATTTACAAACCATGTATCAGAATGGGTTAATTTCCAGAATGCATAAGGAAGTCTTATAAATCAATAGCAAAAAAACAAAAACAAAAACAAAACAAAACCGAATTGCCCAATAAAAAATAAAGACTTGAATAGACATTTCCCTAAAAAAGATACACAAAAGAACTGCAGGTGTATGGAAAGATGCTCAATGTCACTCATCATCAGGGAAGCATAAATCAAAACCACAATGACATATCACATCACACCTGTCAGGATGGCCACTATATATAAAGAAAAAAAAAAAAGGCAAGTGTTGGTAAGGATGTGGAAAAATTGGTACTATTGTACACTGTTGGTGGGAACACAAAATGGTAAGGCTTCCATGGAAAATAATATGGAAATTTCTTAGAAATTAACAACGGAAGTACCATATGATCCAACAATCCCACTTCTGGGTATTCATCAAAAGTAATTAGGGGCTCCCGGGTGGCTCAATTGGTTAAGCATCCGACTCTTGGTTTCAACTCAGGTCATGATCTTGCAGTCGTGAGGTCAAGCCCTCTGTCAGGCTCCATGCTGACAGTGTGAAGTCTGCTTAGGACTCTCTCTCGCTCTCTCTCTCTTTCTCTCTCTCTCTCTCTCTCTCTCTGCCCCTCCCCACTTACTCATGCCCTCTCTCTCTCAAAATAAATAAACTGTAAAAGAATTTTCAAAAAAAATAATAAATGAAGATCTTGAAGA